ACCCGCTCGGACTAAGTTCTCAATCAAGCCTCCATACGCCCGTTTTAACGGTGAGAAACAGGCAACATCCAACGGTTGACAGAGATGCGAGGAGTACGGAGACATGCAGATAGGAACAACACCATTTTAGCTACAAATCTCATCAAAACGAGGCGTTAAATAGGAGTCATGCCCATTGAGAATCAAAAGGCTATATCGGCCGACCCTCTGCGGCTTCGTTAAAGGAATAAAGTGTTCTTGAAGCCAGTGTAATCCGATTTCGTTACTGGTCCAGCCGTTCGGTGAGAGGTTAATTCTCCATGTAGAAGGCACCTTGCCCTGATACCAGGCCTCTATATAGACCTTCCCCTTAAGAATCAAGTACAGAGGCAGGGCCCAGCCTGAGGCGTTAATACACTCAATTAACGTCACCCATTCGCGATCTCCAGGCTGTATAAGGAACGGCTTGCCCACGCAGTCAGATCTCGTGATAACTCGCGCGGCTGCAACCAGGCCCATGGCGAAGCCAGTTTCATCAAAGTTATAGATATCTTGATCAGTGATTCCGTACTCCGATATAGCAGCCTAAACGCGGTCAAACCACTCGCGAAGAATCACTGGATCCTCGCAGCGAGCCCTCTTATAATTATATCGACGTGAGAATCGCGATTTCAAGGAATCATGCCGATTGACAAAGTTATACACCCATTTATAGCCGATCTCCGTTGTAGCAGCAGCGCCGCGCTTTTAGATCAAGATTTCGGCCATAGAACAAACGTGTATAGGCCTGGGAGGAATTCCTCGCTTATCCATAGAGAGAATCCACTCTTCCAACGATTCCTCCTCTGCAGGAGTCAATTTATATGAATTGGCGCGTATATCAGCTCAAGATTTGACTCCGTTCAAGCGTCTGCGAAGAGTTGTCTCCGAAACTGCAAAAACCCTCGCCGTTTTGCATACAGAGAGAATTTCTTGCTTTCTAAAAGCCTCAATTGCCAAGGCAAGTCTGCCCTCTTGTTCCACCGCGTTTTTTGGCGATACAGGCATTTTTAGTGGTTTTATTGATGATTTAATAGCTTCAAGTTAACGAGGGTGACTGTTTTGGTGGTGGGCGCGGCGCCGCCCGCTTACACGCGCCACTCGCTTACCGATTACGATAGTTAATCAAAAATAATAAGAACCTCCATTTGTTCCTCCGTGTGTGAAGACAAAGCACGAATACCTCCCATTTGCACTCAAAAAACTCACCATCCTGCCAGTCTGTCTCAGCCACGGGGGACTCATTCAGTCTACATCAACAATATCCCCTTGAGACTTTATGATGTTATCGACTTGGAAAAATTCTACAACATGCCCAACGATACCTACAATCGTGTCCAGTCCCGCTATGGTGACATCGCTAAGCAGAGTTACACCACTGAGCAGCACGAGAAAGAAGAGCAGATCGCCAGGGCCTTCGGCTACAGTGCGGAGGATCTCGGTTCGCTGCCAGAGAAGACGAACCTCGGATTAAGCTGTGGAAACGCAGTAGGGTTTGCCAATATGAAAGTAGTCTGGTGCTTGACTTATAACTTCGCACGACGTTGACGAATGGAAAATGCTGACCTTCGAGTATATAGGGCGAGACGATTCTGGACCTTGGCAGCGGCAGTGGCATCGATGTCCTCCTGGCGGCCCGTAAAGTCGGGGTCAATGGGCAGGCAATCGGCGTTGACATGACAAGGGTAAGTGATTCGAGTTCGAGTTCTTGCCTCTGTAGAGACCAGGATTGATAGTAGACATAGAGCATGATCGAACTCGCTGAGAAAAATACACAGAAGGCGAGAGTCTCCAACTCCAAGTTCATTGAAGCAACTATCAACTCCGTGCCACTACCAGACTCCAGCGTCGACTGTATCATTAGTAACTGTGTCGTCAACCTTGTCCCAGCGACCGATAAACCGGCCGTGTTTAAAGAGATTGCTCGCCTACTGAAGCCGGGCGGAAGGGTTGCCATCAGTGATATTCTGGCTCGAAAGCCGCTCCCGGATCACATTACTAAGAACATGGCGCTGTATGTTGGGTGTGTTGCCGGTGCGAGTGAGATTGCGAGATATGAGGAGTATCTTCAGCAGGCCGGATTCAAGGGTACGTGTACTGCCATTAAGGGCACTTGAGAGCTTCTGTACTAAATTGCCGGCAGGTGTGTCGTCGTTGATGCGAAGTCGGACCTGAATCTTTACAAGCAGTCGTCGTATTTGTCGCAGAGCTCGTGCTGCGGCAGTGGGGGTTCGAGAAGGGAGACTACGAGTGACGTTGCAGAGTTGGATTTTAATGAGTGGGTCGGTCAGTTATTATCCTCCATCCTGGCTCAAGCTTGATCGCGCTGTTGACAATCTTTCCAGGCTCGTTTCAGATCTACGCTATCAAGGCTTAGGTAACTTTCTTAAGAACTGTTATGGAGAGGCAAAGAATCCGGTTTGATGAGAACGCCCTTGCAGTGCATGGCTCGTACAAGCGCTGTCCCATTACGTTCACGATGAGTATGTACAAAGGGGTGACCCGAGAATTAGCCCAATTCATTGTCAGTTGAATATTTCATCGCGTGATCATTAATTTAGCAGCTTAAAGATGTCCATGTTTTTTACCATGCAGCTGGCGCTCGACTGACACCCTAGTTCCGACCGCACATCCTGCATGTTGGGGTAGCTTCGCATAGATGAAATGATTCCGGCTGCAGTTTCGCACGGGGTACATTGTCCTGATTGTCTGGAGTCCTGGTGTCTGTAGGGTGGTTGTAACGTTGAAATATCAGGAGTGGGAGAGTCGAACGGAACACTCAGCTCCGAGTCCCCATCGGAAATTTGGCTGTCGGATATAGCCGCCTGTTGATAAGTAACTAGGCTCGAACTCGAGGTCGATGGAGCAGGCTTCGTAGCCGTTCTCTCGGGCGACGGATCATTGCGCTCGTAGTTTGATGGAATCGGTCCTCCGGAATCCAATGTACTTAGTCTGGGAGATTGCCCCGAGTGCGATCGCGCCACTGGCACAGCTTCCGAGCGCGACGTAGGAAGACAAATGTCCGCTGTATGTGCTCTTAAGTATTCTTGAACTCTCTGATCAGAAACACCATGCAGTATAAGCAGCGAGCGGAGAAGACTGTTCTCAACTGCCACCTTCCGGCCCGCCTCTTGAACCTCTCGTGTAGCGTGAATGCCCTCAGTCTGAAAATTTTGCAGGCGTTGCTCAAGATCTTGGATATATTCTTTGCGCCGTGCACGCGAACGCCGTTGGTTATCGCGAATTCGTACTGATGACAACATTTGATCAGTCTAGGAGATTGTCAGTCCCAAAGAATGGCGCTGAATTGCACATATTGCCTCTTGCAAGGTGGCCAACCTTGGGTTTTCTCGACTGTTTGTTTGGACTCTTGGTCCTCATCGTTGTCATATTTAGATGGCCGTGAAGTGTACTGTGGTGATTGGGTAATTTGGAGGATCCAGTACGGGGAAGCATGGGAGGAAAAGTCAAGCAGCACGCTGATTACCAAGCAAGGCTTAGTGCCGAGAACCAAATCCACTTAGCCTGTTCAGGAATTTTTTGTTTCCACAAGCCAATCAGCACCCGCCAGTGACATCTACTCGCTGCGTTCCGGCCGCCCCGATCTGGCAATATAGAGTTTGTTCGAATCTATAAATAAGACATCTGTTCTTCAGAAGTGCTATCACCAGATCTGTATACAAAATAATACAAAATCCCCAGATGATTCCTCGTTTTCGAATTCCTTTAGCACGCAAACTCACCCCGGTCATCGGCTCAACGGCGAGTCTGTCGCCCCACAGATACACCACCATGGCGCATCCCGCGGTTGTCCAACCGGGGCCAACTGTTCCCGACTTCGTCAATGGGCATGAGAGCATACAATACCCCGAACACCCGTCTCTGGCGATACCGAAGAGCGAGGATGATGCCGAGATCCGTCAGAAATACCGCCCCTTCATTCTTGACGATGCGGCCGAGGACTGGGTCAGTGCCCTGGAGCTGACAACCGCCATGGATTTGGCAGCGCAGGAACTGCAAAAATCAAACAGCCGACTAAAGGTGCTGGTATTGTACGGCAGCCTACGTCGGAGATCCTATTCTCGCCTGGTGGCGCTGGAAGCTAGCAGGATTCTTTCCCGTCTGGGGTGTGACGTGCGTGTGTTTAATCCCGAGGGGTTACCGGTGAAGAATGATACCGAGTACGGCCACCCAAAGGTGCAGGAGCTCCGAGAGCTCAGCAAGTGGAGTGATGGGCATGTTTGGGTATCTCCTGAACAACATGGGAATCTTGTAAGCATTTCATTTTCCCCACCCCCCAATGCATGATATCTCATTACTGACCATCCACAGACCGCCGTCTTCAAAAATCAGATCGACTGGATCCCGCTAACTACCGGGAGTGTGCGTCCAACGCAGGGCCGGACCCTCGCTATTGCGCAGGTGTGCGGCGGCTCGCAATCATTCAATGCTGTTAACTCTCTGCGTCTTCTCGGCCGGTGGATGCGCATGTTTACCATTCCAAATCAATCTTCGATCCCGAAAGCGTATACACATTTCCCTGATGAAGGTCAACCGGGAGATCAGAGGCTTATGCCTAGTAGTAGCCGGGACCGACTGGTAGACTGCATGGAGGAGTTTGTAAAGTACACCTTCCTCATGCGGCCCCACTTGGAACTTTTTGGTGATCGGTTCAGTGAGCGGGAAGAGAAAAGGGCCAAGGAGGAGAAGCTGAGGCTGGCACAAGCGGCACAACTTTAGCTTAATAGTGGGATGGGTCCGTTGTATATACTGTGTGGCATTGGAGAGGTCAGGCTCTAGGCTATGTACTCTACTGCATGTGAATAAATTAGATTTGTTGAACAACATCTAGATGTCCTCCCACCTTCGTCTTCTAGCCTTGGATCCTAGTGGGCAATATTCGCCATGATCTGTCAAAATTAGTGGAGATTTCAGTTTGCTGTCGCCCGCCCTTTTTAATGCTAATATGCTATTCGTCCGGTGTTTAGACAGCAGTAGTGGGCTCGATAGAGACTTCATTTCCAGTGAGTCAGTGGCGCGTTGTAATTGGCTACCAGTAACTAGTGTTGAGCTGCTAAAGTGTACTTGTCAGATGCAGGCGGAGGCCAAGGAAACGGTGTTGACCAATCAACATCGGCCAATGACATCCAGTTGCGAACAAATCGCCTCGTTTTCCATCAACTCAAATGTTTATATAAACCTCCAGGCGTGTTGCTCGAAGCCTTCCCCAGAAATTTAACACGTCGCCCGAGCCTCCAACGACCAGGCTAATCGCCTTCAATCGAATCAGGACCATCTCAACATTTGAAGATGACTGAAAATGACACCCCATTGGGCGCTGCAGCCCAAACGCCTTCCACTCCCAACGACATAGAAAAACAAGCAAGCCCGTCAGACCCACCGCAGAAAAAAGATTCTGCCTTTAAAAATCTCGGCCTTTTGGACCGATTTCTCGCGGTATGGATTTTCCTGGCTATGGCAATTGGTATTATTTTGGGAAATTTCGTGCCAAGCACTGGACCTGCGTTACAAAGGGGGAAGTTTGTTGGTGTTTCAGTTCCTATTGGTAAGGATTTAACGATTTCTCTGCACTGTCTATTTCTATCTGCTAATACAGATTCATAGCTGTTGGCCTGCTTGTCATGTGTATCCCATTCTCTGCAAAGTGCGCTTTGAGAGTTTGCATCAGGTCTTCAAAACCCGTCAGATATGGATTCAGATTGCGTTCAGTATTGTTGTTAACTGGATCATTGCCCCATTTTTCATGGTAAGCCTCCAAGTCTCCCACTACCTCTCTAAATCAGAAATTGACACGAAATGCTCTAGTTGGCGTTATCCTAGGCTTTCCTTCCAGACGAACCGGAGCTACGCCAGGGGCCGATTCTGGTCGGACTAGCACGATGCATCGCTATGGTAGAAATACCCCCTCCCCAACAGCTGTTGGGGGTGAAACGTTATTTTCGTACTCAACGATACTAACAAACACTCAGGTTCTGATCTGGACCGGTCTGGCAGGCGGCGACAGCGAATACTGCGCCATCCTCGTCGCCGTGAACTCCCTCCTGCAAATGGTGTTATTCGCACCCATGGGCGTCTTTTTCATCCAAGTCATCAGCGGCGATAGCATAGCCTTTCAATATTCCACCGCCGCGAAAAGCGTCGCCGTCTTCCTCGGCATTCCGCTGGGCGCAGCAATCCTCGCGCGCTTCACTCTCCGCTGAGCGACAAGTCCGCGATGGTATGATGAGGTCTTTCTGAAATGGGCAAGCCCCTGGTCTCTCATTGGGCTTTTGCTCACGATATTGGTGCTGTTCGCGTCTCAGGGTTGTCACGTTGTTCATCAGATTGTCTCTGTGATCGGGGTGGCCGCGCCGCTGATTGTTTATTTCGCGGTTATATTCCTCTTGACGTTGTTGGTTACGTACAAGTTGGGCTTTGGGTATAAGCTCGCGGTGACGCAAAGTTTTACCGCTGCTAGTAATAATTTCGAGTTGGCGATTGCCGTTGCTGTTGCTACGTTTGGGGCAGACAGTAATCAGGCACTGCTTCGTCTGTTGGACCACTGATTGAGGTACCGGTTTTGTTAGGGCTTGTCTATGCTGTTAAATTTACAGCGAAGGGACTGAACTGGAAGGATTAGTGAAAACTGTTTGCTACCTCGGTCAGTCAATTGGTCCCGAGGTCAATGATTGATTTCCCTTGTTTGAGCAACATAATGCCTGCGTAATAGACCGCAGTATTATTAATTTTCATAATAATCATATGTTTTAGGTTTCAATGTTTGATATGGCGGCATCACTGCAGCTGAACTGTAGCCGAATGACATAAACTAAACATTTGAAACGCCCACATATAGGTAGCCAGTACTTATAAAGTCTTAACCAGATCCATTCCAACAGCACTGTATATAAGATTTATCAATAATACTCACATACCAATGTATGATTCGTCGCTCTGGACACTATCGATAAAATTTGGTTATCACCACCGTGGTCGTCACGTGCCCCCGAGGTATATCAGAAATTGATACTAACATTTGAAGTTGTATGTCCGTGTTAACCCAGTTTTTTGCGCCCGGTTGGGACTGGTCGGGCTTAGCGCTCGTGCCGCCCTACCTTCAGTCCTTCACCTGAACAACCTGAAGCCCTCTAAACTTCGCCCGCCAAGCCCGAGAAGCTGACGTGGCCTTTGCTCGCAATCTCCGTCGGAAGTGGAATCTCCCGGCTTCCGTATTGGTGACTCCCTAGCCATAATACTCGCCACATCTAGTGGCTTTGCCTTCTTTTCAGCTCTCTGACCCAAGGCGGGGCGACCTTGACACTAATTTAAACTCATCAAGACACCTGACTTATTCATCATCATCATGCCAGGGCGATCGCTCTGACTTTCTCCATCCTTTCGAGAAGCCTGTTACAACACGCGCCGGTGCCTACCGACACTCGAAATAATGGCGATTATATTGAGTGACTTTGGTCTGATGTGTTTTCGTTTGCTCGACCAGACCCTTGAGCCCCACACGGATTGAGCATCATGTCGTCATCTTTACTCCATAGTTAATACCTTTCGAGCTGATCTAGAAATGACCGACTATACTATATACTATACTATAACCCCCGCGCGTAGGTTTCTCTACCTACCTTACATCAGCCGCTTCTATAACTATCACATACAGGGCATGATTTCGCTCGGCCATTGCGGTGGGTGCTCCCGCTTTCTCAAGCCTTGCCGTCGGTCTCAAGAAAATTTTCTTCCTCCCGCAATAGCTCATTTCAAGTCTGCATCCCTCCTTCATTGGATGGACACGACTCTGATATTTATAGCTCCCTCCTGAGCATCAATAATCATGTTCCCCTGCGCCAGCTCCTACCCGGCTGGCCCACTCAGGTCACGTGATATATAAATCTGTAGGAGTGGTTGCCTGTTAGGCAGGCAATCTGCTAGGCAGCAGGGAGATGAGCTGCTTCGACTACAAATAGCTGGATAATTTCCGTATGGATTAATTATCACACTTGTACCTCAACCCAGGGTTTCAACTAAAAGATTCGGATTCTTACCCCCAACCCACTAGGCTGGGTACGGACTTATCTTATAGTCTAGTTGGGAAGTCAAGTAAAAACGATGGGCCAGGGTGAACATCCATCCATCCATTCATAGGCGCAGGCATCAAGCGCTAAAAGAGGCAACTTGGAATGTTCTGTGGTTCAAAGCCTGCCTCAAGCCAATGCGACATGTAACTAACCCCTGGAACGGGATTATGCAATGCATGTCCTTGTCCATCTGATGCCAAAGAAGATACAATGTTATGTGATATATCGGAGGTTAACGCGTCGGAACGGGCATTGGAAAACGCTCCATCTGGGGGGCTGAGATATTGCAACCACGGAAATTCGCCGAACAAATTTTGGCTCAGTTCTGGATCAACGGTGGTGGAATGGAGAGCATCCTTGGCAATATTCATGACATCAAGGCTCACGGCTTTGCCGGTGGTGTGACCAACATGGTGAATTTGGTCGAGACACTCAACCCCTCGTTCGACGGCGGCAAACACAAATTTGGCGTGGTCTGCGTTGGTCTTCGGGTCCAACACATCGTACAGCAATGTTATACAAGCAGAAACTAAAATGGTGGCAGACGCTCCATCGAAACGCGCGCGAGGATACCGTCGAAAGTAAACGTCGTGGATTAGGTCGATGATGTTGCTAGCTGCTTTAGTTGTTTCCTGGATGGAAAGATCGATATTGAACCTATCTCCCGCGCTGCTCTGGGCTTCTTCCCGAGAATCAAAAAAGGCAGCGAAGAGAAGGGCATGTCGATGCATGAGCATGCGGATGAAGTAGTAATGGCACCCAAGCGTCAACCGCTGCACCTCCTGCCATCCACGACCTAGAGGTAGGGTGATATCGAAGAAGTGAAGATAAAGGGGTAGTTGGCGGGTGACAGATTCCAGCAAAGGCTCGGCTTCGGCCGCCAGGTCTCCCATCTGTGCGGGACTTGACATACTGGAAATACTTTTCGGCGAATAAATCTCCAAAAAAAGCCGATCCGCAAGCTCGCCAATGCCGGCCATGGCGCGAACAAACCCGCACAGCCGCAAGGGGTCCCGAAAGTTCTCAGCTGTCGCGTTCGGCATGGCCGGCAATGGGAGGTCTTCTGGGTATGGTGCATCGTTCAAATCATCTCGGAATGCCGATGGGCGACCTGTGTAAAGAGAGCATATCCGTTCAGTGCTATATATTGCCCAGAACGTTCGCTTCAGGGAGTGTACCACCAAATTAGCCCCGTTAACCACTTGCTGTCGATTGATGCCCAACGCCATCACACTGCGAGCCGCATGACCTAGGTACAGATATGCTTCATTGGGCCGCATTACTTGAATAGCGTACATGCCCTGTGTATCTCCTTTAGCTGCCTATTTCCACCGGACTTGAGCTTTTTTCAGGAAAAAAGAGCGAACTAACCTTAAGAAGCAAAAATATCGTCGAAGGCAGACTTAAGTCTTCAAAGGTGGCGTGCAACCCATTTGCTTTTGTGGCAAAATGATCCGCCCAATCGTTTAACACCGAAGTATCCTGTTGACCTTGGGCGATAGAAACCCTGGCTCCGATAGCCAACACCATGAACAATATCTCCTTTCCTTTCCTTACTCTCTGTTGCCCCGGTGGCTTGCCCATCTCCTCCCATAGCTCGACAATGTCTGCATAATTCAGTACCGGGATCTGGGGATGGATGATCTCGAAAAATGCATCAATTAGAGTAGACCCCTCCTCTCGCGTGATATAGGCATCAGGCTGGTAAGTCGGCGGACGATTGACATTTAATGAGAACATGAAGCGTTCCAAGTTCCATTTCCCCAGTCCACCCTCTGCCGATGTTCTGGGTGTCAAAAGCGTCTCGTTCGTTGTTTGTGTGATCCGCTGACACGTGCGCTCTATAAAGCAGAAATGGGACGATGGTCCTACAATCAATTAGTTGCACATTCATCTAGCTCAAAGATGAAAAGGGAACAGCCAGCGACCAAGTTGTAAAGGTCCAGACTACATACCGTAGAATTGAAATGAACCACTATCGACATTTGAAATCCCAATGCCAGCTCGTAGCTCTCTTTGCCGTTTGAATTGTGCCGGGTCCTGTAATGTCGGGGCGGCAAGTCGTGGGGGTGGGTTATGTGAAGATAGGTGGGATGAGCTGGCAGTGGCATCCTTGGCACGCGTTCTCTTCTTACGGGTTTGCGGTTCAGTTCGGTAGATACATGGGTGGTGGCCAGGGCGGCAGGTCGCGCAAGGGACGTTTCCATCACAGCGGACTTTGCGAGAGCGGCACCGCTCACAGGCACGAGGAATCCGAGGAGATGCCCCCTGCACGGATGCAAGCCGAGTAATATCAGGAGTAGACATTATTTCGGGCTATGAGCAAGGTGACGGATGATTCAAACTAAATCATCTGAATGAGGGGATGATACCTCGGAAGTTGCCACCGCTAAGTTCCGTCTAACTTCCGATCCGCGTCACATGACCTTGTATCAGCAGGCCTTGTGGAGCCCCAAGTCCCCAGATCACCTTGAAACTCTCCGAACCCCCGAAAGAAGCCCCTTTCTACGTTGTAGTGCATATCTGCTGCGGACCTCTGGGTCACTTACTAGAGTCTGTCTCATCCATTAGTTATTTCAATTATATTTCTATTGCAGTGCGTGACCTGGTAGACCGTATAAGCTTCCCGCCCTGTTCCGGGATGCACAACTGGGGATGCAGATATCCCAGAACGTAGGCGAACTCCTGCTTCTAAGCAAACAATGAAATTTTACTTCTAATCCTGACGTGGCTTGTCTGTTGATTACCGGCTATTACTTCAGTTCATACTAATCCCATGAAAATCGGCCACTTGGTAGACTAGAATCTCGATCTGTTAAATCAATCTTGAGTTTAATGACAATAAGGAGTGTACTTTCACAGAATGAATGGAAACAACTTTTGAAATTCAATATATATCTAATGTAAACTAAACAAGACTCCTTGTATGCTGTTTGCAAGTACAGTTCCCTCTGAGGCTATCAGAACACCACCTATATTCTTCAATGCAATGACGTCTATGAATGTCCAAGAAAAAGCAAAATTGCCCTGCTACTTTTTCCACTGCCGCACTTTGACCCTGAAGAACCACGTAACAACGAACACGAGCAAAAAGTTTGTCAAGCAGAATCCCAAAAACACAGCCCAATCGCGCCACCGATCGCCGTAAAAGAAATGCAGCGTTTCTGCAAAGTCATCCCCGATTGAATATGGGCAATATGTGCAGCCCTGGCTTGCATTGGGATTCGTCAAGTACCCTGGGCTCGTATTCAGATATTCTGTCAGATACCGCTGGCATGTCTGGCCAGATGGCGGGTCGAACACAGCCATTTCATCTGTAGAACATTGGACTTCAACTCCATGTAGGACAGTGGAAACGGTGGGCTCAAAGAAGTATGTCAATGGATCCGCCCAGTATAGCCAGGGGTGGTAGAAGGAGTTCAGTGCGCTCCGCGGGTTAGCAGCGCCGGAGAACATGAGCAACGTGACCCAGAGCAGAGCCATGGCATAACCAGCCATGGTGGCATTTGAAAACAATGCAGCTACAAGATAGGTGAGTCCCAAGCCAAACATGGCCATGAGCAGATACATGAAGTAGACAAAGCCAGCGATAGAGGCAGTGCTGGCGAAACCGAAGGTCCAGTAGGAAACGAAGAAAATCAGGGTGAAAAGCACAATGTTGCAGGGGATTTCCACGAGAACCAACGCGGAAACTAATGCCTTGTAGTCGTATATTCCGTTACGCTCACGCGCTTCAAAGATTGACCACTTCTCGTACCACATTGCGTGCACGTCTGCAGCAATGGTGGGAATGACCCAACTTCCGAGTAGAATGCCCAGCATGTGGTTCTGAAGACCTGAACTATCATTCCGGATGTGGAAAAAGGTAAACGAGACGAACATCATGAAAAAGAGGCATTTGAAGAGTCGACTAAAATTGTACTGTCCATTGCGCCAGACAGCCTTCCAATGCCGTTCAGTGAGAATCATGATCTGCGCCATGAGAGGAAGCGCATACTGGCCCTTCTGGTCGGATCCTGTGTCAGTAACAGGAGAGAAAGACGTCGAGTTCAGCATCTTAATCTTGGTTTGGAGGGCCTGTTTCTCTGGAGATGTATTCCAGATCTGTGACCAGTCCTTGCTGTCGGCGCCCTTTTCATTCACTGTCGAAATGATAAACTCGGCTGGATTGTCCTCGGCACTCATCACTGCACCGGATCTCGCGAAATATTCCGTAATCGTGCAAGCATTGGCGCCTGTTTCTCCAAAATAGACTGTACTACCACCCGGAGCAAGCAGCATAACATGGTCAAACATTTCAAATATGACACCAGACGGTTGATGAATCGTACAGACGATAGGAACTCCTTCAGCAGCGATCTTGCGCAGAAAAGCAACAATTGAGTACGCAGCTTGACTATCAAGTCCGGATGTTGGCTGAAAAATTAGTCTCAGTCCTTAAAAAAGAATCGAATAAAAACTTACCTCGTCGAGAAACAGGAGGGCAGAGGGCTTTGCGGCCAATTCGACACCAATCGTCACCCGCTTTCGCTCCTCCACGTTCAACTGCCCATCACCGGTAGCTCCCACGAGAGCATCGGCGATCGTCTCAAGCTCCAAAAGAGAAATGATATGTTCAACATATGCGAGCTTCTCCGATCGAGGAATCTCCACCGGTTGACGGAGTAATGCACTGAACTGTAGTGCTTCCCGTACGGTGGCTAATGCTTCGTGAATATCCTGCTGCATACAGAATCCACAGGAGCGAGCAAAGGCAGGACTCAATGGGGAGGCACCCAGCAATATATCACCCGTCATACGGCCCTCAGTCTTTCGTTGAGAGAGATTGTCCAAAAGAGTAGTCTTTCCTGCCCCAGAGGCTCCCATCAACGCGGTCAGCTGGCCAGGTCTGACATATCCAGAGATTTGATTGAGAAGTTGCTTTTCCGTGCCTCCAACGTTCACAAAGTAGCTGAGATTGTCAAAAGTGAACGATGCACGATCCTGGTTGGTCAAGGGGTCCTTCGCAGCTGATGGATCCTGGGTAGGTGCCACATCCATGGGTTCTGCAACATCAATCTCGCTCTCTGAGCCTGTCGCTTTCTCTGCTATTGTGGCTTGGCTTTTGGGTTCAGATGAGGATTCATGTGGCGGGAGGGCACCTCGCTTGTACACCGGGCCTGTTGCACTACCGTTCTCTCGCGTCATCACCATAAGGCCAATTGCACCAATGATGGTGTACAGAACCCACATGGCCATAATGATACCAAAGTTGCGCCAGAGGTGCGCACGAGTGTATCCATACATGCTGGATGCATACACAGCTCCGTCCACCTCTGCTGAGCCAGACCGTGCGCCTTGCATCGGGCACGCTTGGTGGCGAATATCATTATAGCCAGGGCCTGAGGGAATCAGCTGCGAGTCCGTACAATGCAGTTCGATGTTATAAAACTCATTGCCGATCAGGGCTTCCATCGCGTACGGGGTTGGCGAGACCCGTCGGATCCAAGAACCCCAGAGATGCATCGTTGGAACCGGGGGTGCATATCCTGAATACAAACAAACCACAGGGAGAGCACAGCCAGCTAGAAGATGCGATATACTCAAACTGGGTGCCCATGCGCCTAACATCCGGAACATGGTTGAGATGGCAGAGCAATGGACGAAAGTGATGAGGACAAAAATAAAGAACTGCGAGGCGCTGCTACTGAGTCCAATGAGGAAATAATAGCAGCAGGCGAATACGAGCGTTTGGATCAATGCGGCGGGGATATCGGCAATAGTCTGGATAATAGCGTATGCGGCAGGGTTGATGAAGCCCAGGTTGTGTTGCTTCAGCAGAATGGCGCGAGCATTGACTGTCTTCACAACCTCCGTCAATGCATTCAGACAGAAGTATGCCAGGGCAAAGAACAAAGCTCCACTTCTCTCAAATGAACCAGAAGCTGTTTTTGGAGCAGCGTAAAAGCCGGAACCTGCGATGAGTGCATTCGCAATACACAGGGATACAACGGTGAAGAAGGTATTCCGGTCATTACAAAACAACTGGTAGTACCTTTTTGTACCCACAAGGATCTGCTTTCCCATCGTGGCGGGTTCAGTAGCATTATTGAAGGCCGCTGAGGATCGGAGTCCTCCCACCTCCCTGCGAAATTCATCTTGGGCGGTTGCGTTCGTTTCCGTAGAGCGAGAATATAGGCCTATCTCTTGCTGGAGCTGCGCATAATGCGGGCTTTGACGAAAGGCCTGGGCCAGAGATTCTGAGTCAAGATACAAGGGGCCTCGGTAATCGTTTCGGATCCTTCGCTCTGCGGGGGAGGTGACGGAGGTGAGGAAGTCTGGGGTGGTCTGTCTATCTGGGCAATAGAAGCCGAGATCCTCAAAGTATCGCTTGGCCTCCTTCATCTTTCCGCTGAATATCATACGCCCATCATACATGACGATGGTACGATCGAAGCATTCACGGTACATGGTTTCGGAGGCCTGGTAGAGGGTGACCACATTTGTCATCCCCGTTGCTTTGGACATGCGCTTCAGGACACGCAAAAAGTCCAGAGCAGAAGAGCTGTCGAGTCCACGGATGGGGTTATCCCAGCAAACGAGAGTAGAGTTGACGGCCATCGCTTCTGCAAGGGAGACACGTCGGCGCTCTCCACCCGATACGCCTCGAGTAAACGAGTCTCCAACAATGGTGCTTTTGGTATGCGCAATTCCCAAGGCATTGACAAGCTTATCTGTCAACTCTGCGGAAAATCGAGCATCATTTCCAGGGTACTTTGCCGGCTTTCGCAGTCTTAGAGCAAAGTCCAATGTATCCTTCACGGGAAGAGTCGGGAAATGCAGATCATCCTCCGAGCTGTACACAACCTCAGACTTGAGACCCTGACTCATTTCTTGTGCCTTGATTCCGCCATAATGAACCTCACCATCAACTGCCGCGAAGGAGTCGCGATTGTTGGCTATGACCTTCAGCACGGTGGTACATCCAGAGCCAGGACGACCAAGTACAAGCATGGTCTCGCCGGGGAGAAGGACTCCAGAAACTCCCTGGACGATGGTACTTTGAGGTGTTGCTTGTTGGCTGACTAGCTTGCTGAAGAGTGACAGCGGTGTTTGCAGGATATTGCCTAGAATTTGGGGTAAGTCTAGGACCGTCCGCTGACCCCCAGAGTGGCCTTGCACCGTGATGTTGTCAAATGCGACTCCGAGACCCCGTCCCTCGTGACGATAAATTGGTAGTTGGTTTGAGGCATTGTCACGTTTTTCGAGATCGACCTGGAAGTCAACTTGTTAGGTTGGAAAGGATGCTTTAGAATCGGTTCAACTTGCCTCGGAGGATGATTTCGAGTCAACATACGACATGGCTGGGATGTACTGGTCAATGTTTTCCTTTTCGTTTTCAGTGGATTGACGAGACCCAAAGCTTCATATACTTATGTGTTGGGCATACATTTGTATGTTTTTGATAAGTCATAGTTTATGTTTAGTCTTAATAAAAGGAGCCTTCGGCTCGGAATTCTTGAGACTGCCTTCGGCTGCGATACCTTTTTTTTTCTTCCGTACACCTTTGCTATCAGGGTTAATCAGAATTATTTCGGAGCGGGAGTTAAGACACTGGCTAACATCCGAACCGCGTGGCGACCTCGGGACAATTTGCAATCTGGAATTACTGTCTTAACCAAATCCGGTGGGCATGACTTACTAACTAACAGCCGGTGGGCATCATACAGGTCTGAATATAAAACATCCGATCCCTCTAACTGAATCGATACCAGATCAAACTGAAATCAACTTTGAATCAGTATCGTTCTCATCATTCTCATCATTCTCATCATGACCTTTATTACCACCGATGACGGCCAGGAAGTTTGTTTCGAGCCCAAGGAACCTCAGGCCCCACCTTGGTGTTTGTATCGGGTTACCTTCGGCATCGACAACACTTGGCAACCATTGGTCGCGAGTCTAAGCTCCCAATACCACTGCATCTCTTACGATAGTCGCGGATACGGACGTTCCTCTAAGCCAGCCTCTCCTGACAGCTATTAAATTCCCCGCCATGCTAGTGATCTGCGCGCGGTTCTCAATGCCTGCAACGCGAACGATCGCGTTGTACTTGTGACGCACTCCATGGGTTGCAACATTGCCTCCGCCTATTACCTTGCTCACCCTGACCATGTCGCCGGAATCATCTACTCCGCGGGATACTTCGATGGTAAGATGCGGCATCGGTCGCTAACAATATAAAAAGCTTAAATTGCGAACCGATTTGTCTTCGCAGTGCTACACAGTACATTAAGTTTCTACTAACCGCCGGTGATAGAAATATTTCCATACCCCAGTTCATTACTGCCCCTACTGATTCATCTACCAACCAAACCACTCTACAGCTGGGATAGTCCGACGACTCAGTTTTGAATCAAAGCAAAATTAAATGCGATGATAAGATGATGTCGTCCAATACTATTAGTGCTGGCTTGTCATACATGACCGGCGAAAATACAGTAAGGGATCGACCTTTAAAAGAGAAATATTCCTCTGACCGGGTTCAAAAAGCAGAGACAAATATCAGGAAGAGAGACTGATGCTACCTGGGCCATGGCAAGGGAGTTATTTGAGCGGGAGCGTCTTTCACTCAACCACCAAGCAAGCTTGGAAACGAGAATTCACAATGAGCAGGTCGCATGCAGAGAAGCTCAGGAGCGCTGCGCATACCTAGAGAAGGTCATCCTGGAATCTGCAAATGCAAGATCACAGCAAGATTGGACACTTACTCGTGTTTTAGAGGGCCGGAATGCACTCAACGAAGAAGTTCAAAAGGAGAGGGAAAAAGTGCAGAGCCTA